AGGCGGGCAGTCCCACACTCTCTCCTTCTCACTTTCTTTTTATGCGTTCCACACTCCGGTTCTTGTTTAGTTGCTGTTGTAGACACTGTCTGTGGCTATATAGTGCTGCTTTACCCAGGCTTTGTGGGACATAGGTTCTCACTGCAGTGTGTGTATAGGACTGTGCAGGAGCAGAGGCAGTTAATGCTGATGTGGACTTGGCAGAGGATTTTCAGTGGCTCATCAATGCCAGCAGCCTTTTGCTAATGTTCTTCATTGGGTCTGACTGCAAATATTTCATATGCAGTTGGATGAAGTTCACTGTCCTGCAATAGAAAGGCAGATCTGATGAGCTAATGGTCCCTCTGGCCTTCTGTGAGGATGCTGTAAATGACCTGAATGGAGTCAGCATATCTGGCAGCACAAAGTGCTGCATGAAGTTGAAAGATGATGCATAGATTGCTGTTAAAATAAATGGGGGAAAAAAAATAGTTCCACTGAATGCTTCAGAAACAGTATGTGATCATTGCTGAGGCTGTGTACATGCTGAAACTATGTGAAGCCGTGATCTTACTACTGTTTTCTTGTTTTTATTTCCCCTAGTGCTTGTTACAGTTGCTTGGCTCTGGTTTCAGATAACACTGCAAGATCTTGCAGGCTTTTCTCACCCTGGGTACCTTGCACAGCGGGGGCCTGATCCTGATGGTGGCCTCTGGCTGCTCTAGCAAAGCAGGTGATAAAGGACTGGCTTGCTGCAGGTCCTTTGCTCAAGTTGCAGGTTGTGCTGGTGCATCCAGTCAGGGCCATGAACAGTACTCCTGGATGCAGGGAGGCTTCAGGGCACTGGCTTCAGCTGTGTGAGGGGCATCAGGGAGATGTCTGTCCCAGAAAAGGAGCAGGCTGATGAGTAGTGCCTGACACTCACAACATGCCAGGGACTATACCCGGGCACAGGTGGTGCATGCGAGCTGTGGAGTGAGGAGCAAGCTTGGCTTGCAGTTACTTACTACTGCCTGTTCTGTTTGGAGACCTCAGGATGTACCTGGAACTTGAGGCAGGGGCTGAGATGTGAATCTAGTGCCTCGCCCTGCATTTTGCCAGAAAGGCAAACACAAAGGCCCACGTCTGCACTAGTGAGCTATGCCTTAGGGCTTTCTCTGGCACTGTGGCTATTTAACTCAGCCGTTCAACCATGTTTCTCTCCAAAAAGGGGAAAATTGCTATTGGAAATGGTCTCTGTCTGCTCCAGTCTGAGCTGGGCTGAGAAGGTGCTAAGTGGCCCTTGAGCCCTGTAGCAGTTCAGCATTACAGGCAATCAAGTCCCAGTGCCTGGGAATGTCCCCAGCAATGTTTTGTTTCCTAGGAAAGATGTGTGCCGGCTGACCTGGCCCTTGGGAAAGTAAATAAGTTAATGAACCTATTCCACTGGTAAGGAGACAGAGATAGGAAAGACAGGTGGTGTGCTCAAGGCTTGTTTCGGCATCACTGGCAGGCCTGGGAATGCGGCATCCCTGTGCAGCATGACCTAGTGTGAGTGTTCAGTGAGGCTTCAGCTTGGGAGACCTGTGTGAAGACATGTCTTCTGTTCTGCTGTGATCTGGGGCTGTGTCAAGCTTCTTTCCACATGGGAGAGCTGCTGACCTCTCCACGTACCCACCCATCCTCTGGTCCCTCTGCATGCCAGGCTGCTCAGGATGAGGGCGAGAGTCCTGCTCTCCTCTCCCTGCTGCCGTGCTTCCAGTTTCAAGGGGTGGGTAAGCAGGAGGCAGCCCGGGTGCTCAGCCTTGCGTGGCTGCTGAGTGCTTCAAAGTTATGAGTGTGGCTTTGGCTCATATTGTTGTCAGGTCTGCCAGGGGCTTGATGCATCATGACATCCAGCAGGTCCCCGTGCCGGACAGCTCTACCTGATGCCTTGGTAGCCCCTGTCCCCTGTGTGATGCAGGGGAGGGGGCTGCTCAGTGTGTACAGGTAGCTCTCCAGCAGCTACCCCCAGGACAGTGACACCAGACCTGGAGGAACCCTGCCACTTGTTCTGTTCACCAGAAGCAGCATTGGATGGAGAGGCCCAAGGCTGGACTTGCCCCACAGGTGGCTCCTGCCTGAGCCACATCTCTGCCCAAAGTGTTGGCGACGGCACGTGCAGCAGGACAAACGCAGCTGGGGGCCACCACTCTCTCGAGCACCATCCCTCCATACTGTAAACACTCTGTGCTCCTTAAACCTCCCAGGATTCATTCTGAATTCTTTGTAAGGCAGTGAAAACCACATGGCGTTCGAGCCATGCAAATGTCAAACTAAAGGCTTTAAGTAGAACCAGACGTGCTTAGGACCGGGTCCTATGCAGCAAAGCCCCCCCAGCTATTTTTCCACTGCAGATGCTCTTGCTTACCTGGGGCCCCATGCTCTGCGAGGGCCTGCTAGCTGGGCTTTCATCAGGAAATAGTTGTGGTCCTTTTCTGCCCTCCAGTACCACCTGCATATTGCTCTTTCCAGTTTTGGAGGAGTGCTCACTTCCAGTCCTGGAGGTCCTCCCTGCCTCCGTCTCTGTCCATCCTCTTATCCAGGTTATGGAAGGAAGAGACATTCTCGTTTGGGTACTCCCTCTGCCCCTGCCTCCGAGGGCATCCCTGCCAGGTTGCTCCCCTCTACGCATGCTGGGCTGTCCTCCCTTGAGGAGCATCGCCCTGGTGCTAGCATCTCCCTTCACCTGGGATTGTCAACTCATGTCGGAGTTGGCAGTGACACAAGAGTGACTCTGTTAATGAGAGGTTTGTGCCGAACTCAATAGCCTTCAAGAGCAACCTTGTCTGCTCAGGCATGGGCCCCTGTCTCTTTCAGTCTTGTACTTTTCTTCCTAACCTCTGCGTTGCTGTTGGCATTGAGAGCAGCTAGCAGCACTCTCCCTCCAGCACACACGTGAGAGATGTAGGTAAAACTTGAACTTTAATCCCATGAAGAACTAATAGAGTGATTCAAGGCCAGAACAGCTTCTCTGGAGAATGTAGTTATTTTGACTACTAGAAATAATGTCTGATCATGTGACTAAGTTGAGGTAGGAAAGGGCAAAGGCTTTGCTCTTTGAACAGACCGCCTGAATATGACTTGCAAGGTGTGTTTCAGCCGTGCTTAGGCAAGACTGGGAGCTGTGACAGTGCAAGCAAAGATGCTTATGCTGCTGCTTGAGCGGAGTCCCTCAGCAGACCTTAATTACCTAAAGACCTGCTCCACTTTAGTGTTGTTCTCTCTTTACTGATCTTCCCATCTTTAAAAAGTTTAAGGCCTTTTGTGGGCTTCTATGAAGTAAGTAAAGGAAAGTTTGCTTTCCTTGGATACTTTCTGGTGATGTCTTAAAGAAGAGACCCATAGATCTCTTTGCATTAACAGACAAAAAGCTGGAAATCAGTGCTCTAGCTCAGCCAGAGCAGATGTGAGTGGATGCACGAATTACTTTGGCTTGTTGTGTTTGCAGGAAGTCACACCAAGGGAATATAAGTGCTTTCTCCCTATAAAAATCTACCCAGATTAATAAAACGTTGATCCTGAAGGGCTGAATAACGCTTTACAAATGATGCGGCTTCTCACACCACTTCTGCTTCCCATGTGGTGTGATTGCAGCTCTACAGGCAGCTTCATTCATGAACACCAGAACAATCCTTGGCACACCTGCTACCCACTGTCTTTGGCTTTCCTAAAACGTGAGCCCCACAGCTTGAGCTCTGGCACTTCTGGAGTTTCATCTCATGCTATGTGGATGCAGGAGTCACGAGGATGCCAGTTTGGAGCAGGATCATCTTCTGACCCTGCTGTGTTCGTGTTAAAGTCAAGCTAGAAGATGAATGTGCATGTTTCCATGGTTCCTGTAAATTCTGTCAGCAGCTCTGACTGCCTTGTCCAGCGTTAGAAATAAGCCATACTCCCCACTTTGTTTCCAGAGGCTTTCCAGAGCTTTCAGGTTACCTATTTCTAACTTTTAATCTTCTGATGACTGTATTTTCCCATCTACCTAGACATGCAAAAGTCAAATATTCCCAAAAACTTCCCTCCATGATAAGTAAATATGCTTGGAGAGCAACTTGCAACTTGTTATTCCTTCTCATTATAGATGTGTAAATACGAGATGTGATGAGAGGAAGCAGGATTAGCTGCCTGCTTGGGCACTGCAGAGCACCTCTTGGAGGCACAGCACTGTCTCCGATGATAGCTGTATGTTGGCAGTGATCACTACCTGAAAACACATAAGAAGGGAGAGGTGGGGAGGACGCCATTTATGTAAAGGCAGTCAAAAAGTTGCTGCAGCAAACTGCTGGAATTAACAACCATGGAAATGATTTGAGCATCCTGGAATTAGTGTAGCACTGTGCATGTCAGGTAGACACAAATTTCATAGCATTGGAGAGTCCCCAGCCCTCGGGGTCACTGTGCCAGAGGCAGATAACTAATGCAGGACTGGGGTGCTTGCAAAGGAAGAGCAAGCCGGGGAGCATCCGGTGTGGCTGCTGGTGTGCCGTCCCTCCCAGGGTAGGGTTGAGCAATGAACAGCAACGGGCAGCAGCAGTTAGGTGGAGAATGAAGCGTTGTCTTTGGCTGAAGCAACTCGGGACACTTGCGGAGGCGAGACGTTATGACCAAAGTTGGAATCAGGCCCAATTTACACCCCAATACCATGAAGTGCCATGAGATCTTTAATGATCGCAGGCTGCTGGCCTCCAATTGCTCTCAGGAGGAAAATGGTTCCTCTGAGCACTGTGCCAGGAACTCAGCATAATGCCAGTTCAAAAGGGAGATAGCTCCCTGAGGGATTGCTCACACTGCAGCATTCACATAGTCCTTGGGGGTTTCTTTTCCAAGCACTTAAACAACTCAGCCCTTGTCCCATTGGTTTTGATCTCAGCTGCTGGTCCATCTGGAAGGAAAGATCACATGCTGCAGGAAATAATTTTACGGGTGACTCAGAGGTGCTGGCTGCAGAGAGACCTCAGCTTCCCCTTCTCCTAACCACGCTGCTTTGTTTCCCTACTTAGGCCAAATGTCTGCGGTAGACAGTGTTGCCCAGGATGGACCACGGCTCCTGGCACAAATCGCTGCATCAAACGTGAGTATGACAGTCTCTGCCGGTGCAGGCCTCGTGATCCACCCCTAAAAAGCACTTGAGTACTGCTGCGACCTTGCACATGTCCCCTGCTCTGTGCCAGGGCATGAGATGGACTGTGGGGTCCCCAGAGGTAGCACTGCAGCCTCCCTGTGGGGCTGCCGGGTTGTGGGTCAGCTCTCCATGCCCACTGGCAAAGTTTGAACATGCTGAATAATTATGGCTTTACTTTATTATCACTATTAGTGTCCATCCCAAGCAGGGTCTTGTTGGGGCAGGGCATTGCAATGGCACATTTATGGGTAAGTTTTGAGCCCTGGGTCCTCATTGTCCTGCTTGGAGCAAAAGGCAGGTCTGTGGAGGTCCTAGCAGGTGGGAACCAGCAGAGTGGGGCAGTGGGTGAGCACTGCTGATGCTGAGGGAGAAATCAGGGCTGCAGATTATCTGAGTGCTCTTGAGGAAAGCAATTATTGGAGTTGGCACAACATCTGAGACTGGTGGGGCTGGAGCATGGTGCAGCATGTAGAGTGTGTAAAATGGCGGGGGGCTGCAGGGCACTCCTGCAGTGTGGAAATTGCCCAGGCAGGGCCCTCCTGCCTGCCCACAGACGGGTTAGTAAGGGCTCTGCTCCTCCAGATGGCCCTGCTTCAGCCCTGGGGGCTGAGATAATTTTGGGCTCCCTGACACCACACTGGAAGGGAAGCGATTTGGGCAGGCACCAGTACAACCCTACACTGTCATCTCAGTCCCCAGTAGCTCTGCAACCACAGCCCAGCCCCTGCTGCAATCCCTGTCCCTAAACAACAGGGTTACACTACCCAGCCCACCCGTGGGCCTTCCCAGGGGACTGCCTGCCCTCACACTTGCCTGGTCCTGGGGAGATAAGGGGCTGCCTGCAGCCCCCGGGCAGCTCGGAGTGCAGGGAGCACAAAGGCACCAGGAAGGCTTTCTGGACGGGAACGCCCTGCCCAGAATAGCCAAGAGCATCTGCCTTCACTCGAGTGGCAGCAGCTGCCCAGATGTTTAGCGGGGGAAGAGGCTCAGCTTTGTTTGCTGCAGGATCTCACAGCGCTTTGGCTGCGCCGGGATAATTGCATTAGCGATCGCTGTTCGGGAGCAAGGGGCCAAGGGCTGACTCACCTCCCTTCTCCCTCTCCCCCCCGCCGACAGAAGCCAAACGGTAGAGAGCGTGCTGTGCTGCCAGACAGCGTCTGTAAACAGAGTGCGGGGCCAGCGATGGCAGCATCTTTCTCTCATTAGGGATTTTTGTAGGAGCAGTAGATCTGGGCTCGCAGCCATGCAGGCCGTCTAGTGATTGCTCAGGTGCCGGGCCCTTGTTCCCAAGGATTCATTAAAAGGACACTGTCAACATGATCGGGCCTGACAGTGTCCCTCCGATGGGATGGTAAATCTCAGGCAGGACTTAGGTGGAGACTGGTGATGTGTAAACATCGTTTCATTCCCAGCTACCTCCCTCGCCTGGCTTTTCTGCTGGAGTTCAAGCTGCTGGAGACGTTCGGCTGGTTTTAAAGCTGCCAAGGCAAGCTGGACAGCCCGTCCCAGTTACTTTCTGCACTGTAATGCTGTTTAATGTCTGATCCCATGGTCTTTGATATGGGGCATATCAGGGAAGTTAGCAGGATAGAAATGCAGCCAGAGGGAACCTCTTAGCGTAACGAAGCAGGGAAGAAGTTGGCATCCAGGTCTTGGGCAGGACCTTGGTTTTCATGTATTGGAGCCTGGGTACAGGAGAGAGGTTAGGCCAAATTGTTGCCATAATCTGCTTCCTAACACCTGTCGAGCATGATGACTTTTTCCTTCTCCACCTATGCTTTTCCAGGGACTTTCCTCTTAAAATATCTCTGCATATGACTGAAGTCAAGCAATGGGCAGGTCTCTCTAGCCTTCTGGTTTGTTCCAGCTTTGAGGACCACAGTGCAGTGAGGACTCAGGGAGTTTTCAGAGAGTCATTGCCTGGGAAGATAACAATCAGAAATCTCTCTCTTCAGGACACTGGTATTTCCCGGGAAAGTGGAAGTAGGCTAAGGGAGTTTAGGAGGAAGATCTCGACTGCTTGCAATGGGCTTGGTTTCCACCCACATGCTGCCAGGTCATGTCACCAAACTGCATACAGGGCATCCTGTGGGGCTCCAGAGGTCTTCCCACAGGAGGGGACATTAGGGATAATGAGCTGCATCTGAACTTGGACCCGAGGAGTTCATCCAACCTCCTGCCTGTCTAACTTCACCTTGGGACAAGACTCAGGCCTTTATGTCCTGAGTTTGGTGGAGAAGAAACCTGTACACTCAAGCTGGCCAGAAGCCCCCTTGCACTGCCCATATTTCAGGGGCTGCAGGGGCTTCAGTCTGCACTTGTCGGTAACTTAGCTGCTACCTATTAGCTCATCATCCTCACCCTCTGCTTAAGAGCAAGGAAATCCTTTTGCTCAGCCTCCTGCAGTAGTTCATCAACCTCTGCTTTCATCAGTATTATTCACTATGGCTCTTTGCTGCTTCCCAAGATAGCAGCCTGGGCTGGTTTGGTAATACAGGGTGAGCTTTTTTTCTGACATGGGTATTTCAAAGTTTAAAAGAAACATTTTTAATCAGCATGTTGGGAAGGACTAAATAAATTCATGCACTTTCTAATCTTGTACAGATGGTCTTGCGGTTAAGATACTGGATGAAGGTACAGGGATTCCAGCATGAGTTGCTGGCTCTGCTGTGGTCTCACAGTGTGTCTTCAGACAGTCACATTAGCACCTGGGGCTTTTCCACATCTGCAAAACGGAGATGACATTCACGTGCTCTCTCCTTTTATCTTTTCTGTACAGTGACTGTAGGGCTTTTTGAGTTCAGTCTGTTTTTCATTGAAGTTCTGTTTTCCCTCTCTGTTATTGCTGCATTGCTGTTGATCTCCCTGCCTGTCGGCCTGCACGGATCTCTCGGTTGTGTTAGATTGTCCATCCCTTCTGGGTGTGCTAACACAGTCAGAGCTTTAAGTTAGAACTGAGATTATGTATTGCTGTGCATCAATAAGCAAACTTTTCCATGGGAAAGTGGACTAAATCACCCCAGTGGTACAAGTCCTTCAGCATCTTCCCAGTTTTCCTGTGGATGCCTAGCTGGCTGGACAGGTTCCCCCGCATTTAAATGGAACCAAGCAGCAGCTGCTTACAGTGAAGGTCTATACCACTCTCCTAGATCCTAGACCCAGAGCATGTGCAGAGCAGCAGGGTCACAGTACTTGAATGTCACCTTGCAATGTCATTACTCAATCCTGGGCTGGCTGTGCCCGCAAAGTGATGGGAGGTTGGACTTGTGACCTTCCCCTCTGATGGTCCTGCCTGCCTGCCTGGCCTAGGTGAGTGGTCATAGTCATGCCACAGTCATAGCTGCAGTGTGACCTTGCAGGGAGGACTTACCTCATGCACTGAAGACCAGACAGCACCAGAATCGATCTGTGAGGGCACTGCTAGATGCTCTTGAACAAACTAGCATTGCTACTAATGACACTTTAGCAGTGCTCCGAATCTTGTCCTTTTATTGAGAGTTTTGAGATGACTCTTTTTGCTTTCCCTAAAGCCCTACCTCCTGAAGCAGGTGATTACATGAGACTACAGCGAGAAGAAATGAGTGGCTATCATCTTTATAGATGTTTATGGCCCCTACAACTGGGGAGAGACATCTCAGAGAAACCCCTGGTCTCAGAAACCAGAAAGCAAAGAGAAAGATTCCAAATGTATATATATATTTAACCATCTTGTTTCTTCTGTCAATATTATGGTTTTGGGGGCCTGAGTTGTGATTTCACATGCTTGGCACTGGCAGTACTTCCACTGAACGATTTGCTCTCCCTACATCACATAGCTGGACTGAGTGAAAACCTGTGACTTTTTAAAGCTGTTTAAAGTTCTTCCTGAGTCTGCAAAGGCAACCAGGAAGGTGATTAATCCTAGGGCTGGAATATTTCAGCTAGGGCAGCTCCCCACCCATCCTGCATGAAGGGACCAGAAGACTAATCCCATTCCCTTCTTCTTCTTTATATCAGCTGCCTTAGGGGCCTTTTAGAGTGCCTGGTCACTTATCACTGCTTTCCTGTTGAAGGGCACATTCTAACATGACTATGTACATAGTGGGAGAGGTTGTGAGAATTGCGGTGAACCCAGGTCCCGGTGTCATGGCTCTGCAGTATTTCAGCACGTGAAGCAGTTGTTTTCAATGGCAAGCTTCCTGGTCTGGTGGTGTTTGTTAAAACAGGCATTTATTGGGAGATAACGGTAGGGACTGACAGCCTATTTAAATCACAGCTGAGTTTCATATTATAAATTACATCAACTTTTGGAGGGCCAGACTTCCCAGAGACCGTTAATTCCTGCCTGACTAGGACCTTGTCTCTGTTCCAGAGTCTGCAGTGGTGGCTGATTTATTTAACTGGGGCATTTCATCAAAACCTCTGGCTTTAACCTATACAGCCCTGCATGACTTGGGTTCTCACTTTCCTTGAGATCTCCATTTCTTCCTGAGTGTTAACATGGTAATAAAGGTCAAATGAAACATTCCAGCCAACATATCCCTGATCTAGTTAGGAAAAGCTGATGGCAGTCCAGTTTTGGGGTGAGGGAAGGGCTGTGGGGGCTATACTGATGTGAAAGGACCTCAGCGGTTCACAAGGACTTCCCTCACTTGGTGACAGCGTGTTAATGTGTGGGTGGCACACAAGGCTAGAGGTCTTTGTATGCTTGTTGCCCAGAAGCAGTGTTTCTCACAAGCACGCTTGTATCTTATGGGGATGGAGAGCATAGCCAGAGAGGGAGGGATGTGCTTGTGAAAGCCCAGCAGCTGCATGAGAAGGTGGTGGGATGTCAGATGCTCCTGCAGCCTCCCTGGGGCAGTCCTGGGGCTCTCAGCAGAAGCAGTAGCCACATGGCTGGAGGTTAATGTCCACCTTGTGTTGTCCAACGAGGTTTCATTACCCTTCAGCCAGCCAGCCCTTTCCTTCTTTGAAGTATGACACTGTTTTCCAGTGCCTTTTCTATTACCCTTGCTCAGAACAATGAGCTCGGTCCTACCTGAGCGAGCTGTCGTTTCCTGGCTCTTGCTGGCTGGGCTATAAACCCAATTTGGCACCTGTTGACTTGGGAAGTGTTAGGGTCCAGCATATGATTAATAACACTTTTCTCCCAGGGTGCAAACTGAAGCTGATGTACTGTAATTAGGAACACACACAGGCTCGGAGGGTGATTTGGGCATGAAGTTAATGAACTGTAAGTCCCCATAGCTGTGGAGGAATTTGAGAGCAGTGACTCTAAAATCAGCTGCAGAGGGAGAGCTGGAAAGCTCTGGAGGGGACAGACAGGGGGGGACTGTGCAAATCAGACCCCAAAATGGACTAAAGGTAACATGCAATCCCTTGCTTTGGGATTGAGGTCCTATTCCTGCCCAGAGCGCTATGGGAGCTGGGGGCCATATGCTCTCTGCAGACCATGCTGTTCACTTCCGAGCTTTCTGAAATTAATATTTTGGAGAAGAGCTCTGCAGAGGCCGAGGGGGAGAAGTGGGAACAGAAACAAGTCTCTGATGGAGGTGACCTTGCGTTAGGGACCCATGGCAGTAGTAACACCAAGACTTTGAAGGTCACCTGCCTGCAGAGAAGAGCTGGGACCTCCCTGCTTGTGCTGTCCCAGTCGGGTGCCACTACTGTGGGGCTAAGCCCCACTAACTGCCTTTCTATGTCTCCTCAGCTGTCTGCGACCCGCCATGCCAGAACAAGGGCTCCTGCAGCCGCCCCCAGGTCTGTACCTGTCGCTCGGGCTTCCAGGGCTCCCGGTGTGAAGAAGTCGTTCCCGAGCAGGAGTACCACCCACCTAGTGCTGCCGCCGCCTTCAGGCCCCCCGCAAGCTCCCTCCGGAGGAGGACCGGCACAGCAGGGCGGGATGCCTCCCTGCGAGGGGCTCAGGTGCCAGTCCCACGACATATCCCAGCTGTGTAAGTCAAACCTAGTTCCCAGCAGGATGCTCCCCCAAACCCACAGGCAGCTAACACCATGCTCAGTTGGGCCACAGCCTCTGCTTCATGAGACCAGGCCCCTTGGCTCCTGGTGGAGGCTCCTCTCCAGGCTGTGGGAGCTGATGTAAGAGGGTTGGGTCCTGCTGTCCCTCCAAGGGACTAAGTTTGTCCCCAGCACTGTGTCACGGTCCCCAGGCACACGCAGGAATGGGACAGGCTAGTAATGGTGAAGGAAGACTATGAAGCTCAGCCGTTTGCCCTTGTCCAGTTGGTGAACAGCCTTCATGGTAGCAGCAAGGTGGGTGGAGGACTGGCAGTTAAATCTCTTTCCCAAGAGGATGTGTTTAGAGCAATATGTCCAGGTAGTACCCACAGAAGACTACATACATCTGAGGTGTCCTATTAAGTGCTGGTATGAGCAAAGAGATGTCTTCTGGCAGACTTCAGCTGCTATTGAGCCATTTGTTCCATATTTGTGTCACCTTGCACGGTGTGGGTCATTTTGGTACGCAGGCAGGTGCTTGCATTTTGGGTACAATATGCAAAAGATGCAGCTGTTGGAGCTCACAGAGGTCCATGCAGGAATCACTCTGTGAGGAGCTTGTTAAGCTCAGGATGACAACTGTGGCACTGTCTGGTCCTTTTGGATGAGAAAGAGCTTATGGCTTCAGCCCACCTGCCTCAGGTCAGTGCTGAGATGCTCTTGTAACCAAGCCACACTTTGTGTTTTGTAAAGTCCCGCTGGACCTGTGGGTTTTCTGCTGAAGGAGGCAGTACAGATGGGAAAGGGGCCTTTCCCTGACAAGCTGCTGTGCTGGCAGCTTGGTGGGAATGGAGAGGTGGGAATGGTGCCTGATGCCATACAACAACCCACAAGTGCTGTTTTTTTTGTTTTGTTTTGTTTTGTTTTTAAATCATATCTGCTTTTCCGTGAGCAGATGGACATGGAAGCAAAGTGTTAGGCTGCACCATCCCTAAAGGCCTGTGTCTTCGTTGCTACTATTCACTCAGTTGCTGGGCCAGAAAGTGGTTTTCTTGGTAGGCACCACAGCAGAGAATTTGTATGTGGCTTCCAGCAGAAGTCCCTCAGTCACAGTCAAGAAGACTTTGCAGCAAGTTACTGGTGCCTAACCAGGAGGTAACTTCAGCTTCTCCTTTTCTTCTCTGAGCTGTTTTGCCTTTCTCTGTCAGTGTCACTTAGAGCTGCCTGAGGAGCGGGCAATTCATCCTTTGTTTCTCTGTATTCCTGCAGATTGCTTTTAACATGCCTGTTGCACCTAAAGTAGCTGTTGCCTTTTTGTCTCTTCTGAAGCAGAGGCAATGCATGGGCTGGAGTAATTTCTAGACACTTACTCTTGGCCATCTGCAGTTTTGGAGGGGCTCAAATAACTAGTGAGGAATTGAGTAGTTCGCTGAAGCCAGCATGTCTTGGTGCCCAAGTGAAAGACTATCTGATGGGAACCAAATTCAGGCAAGGCAGAGGTGATGCTGGCAGGGAGAGGTTGCCTAGCTCGTGTCATCACTGTCCCAAGAGAGGCTCGGTGCCCGAGCGAGCACGCAGCCCTCACACGTGCCTGCAATCCTGGTCATTGCTGACGAGCTTCCCCACAGTGATGACCTCCTCCTACCCCTCTGTGCCACCACTCCGTGTGGAGGGACTGGAGGGGAGGGAGAGCAGTGCCCTTGGAGTTACAGCACCTGTTGAAGGCTTTCCCAGTAAGGAACATGACCTCAGGCTCTGCACAGAGGACAGGGGGCTGCACAGGCACCGGCAGAGCATTCCTATCCAGACAGTCAGACACAGCGTCTAGCAATCACTGAGCTGGGATTGCTGAATGCCCAGCTGCCTGCTGTACCTTAAATCCTCTGGCATTGTCCCAAGGAAATAGGACTCCATTAAGGGCCATGCCATGCCTTTCCTCCTTCCCTCCCCATGGAGGCCATAGGACGTCACCTTACCCCATGCTTCAGCGAGAGCATTTGATGTTTGTCCTTTGCGACAGCTGCAGGTAGGACCTTGGGACATGTCCACCACTGGCCTTCTGGAGTCATCCTCAAGGATTTGCTGAGGCCGCTGTGTGTGTCTCTGAGAGGGAGCTCTCACCGCCCCTCTGTGTGTTGTGCCACAGGCTACTGCCTTTCCCGCCCAGGCAATGTGTAGCAGCCCTGCTTTGCAGGCAGGTGTGAAGCTGCCTGCACCCTGGCACTATTCTGCATCAAAACACCTCACTGCAGCCCCTGGGTGTTTTCCTGTACAACTCAGTCACTTGCGTTTTGTCCGTGGACCATACAACATATGGCATGCAACTGGCATGACCTAAAAGTCTTGCTGCTATTAGGTGGGTTGTTTCCCCAATACTTTTGAGCGTCCTGTTCAGCCTGCCAACTTCTAGGCTAGAAGTGGAGCCTGTAAGAGTGAGCACCTGAAGCCAAAGGGACACTCTTGCTGCCATTACACCTGGCTGTGCCCTCCCACTGCTTGCCTTGCATTGGTGTTAGTCCTCATCTGGCCACAGGGTGAGTTGATTCAGTTCAATAAACCAGAAAAAAATTAGCACAGCAAAATTAAAGATAATTTCCTGCCATTTCAATGGGCTAAACTGGCTTACTGAAAGATCATGGGGACCAGAAGAACTGGACAGAATTGCAAGGCTAGCAGCGGAGGGAAGAAAAGGGTTGGACTCCCCTTTTGGGGGAAGCCACTTATTAGGTTGGTCTTTTGTCTCATGAAACGATGCTCTTAAACTTGTCTGAACTTGGAGCCTGCTTCTTGCAGTTACAACATCATCTATTTCTGTGTTACAACTAAAGTAGTTTCTGTGCTGTGTCAGGCTTTCTCCATACAGTCGAGCCGTAGAGCAAAAGCTAGAAGCATATTGGCCTTTCCAGAGCTAGGTAGATCTTGCTTATATTTGCAAGTATGAAGATCAGTTCTCAGGCACTGGAAACTTGCGGTCACCTTCACTGGAGCTTAGTTCACTGTCTGAGAGGAACAGCTTGGGTTTTCCAGTCCTTGGTCTCCTCCTGGATAAGCATAAGTTGTGCTGGTGGGACACTGACTTTTTCTAGTCAGCCTGCCATGATCCCACAGCAGCTGGCTTACTTACCTGACTTGTCATAAAGAAGAGGTAGAAGAAGATCTTAGGTGGCTTGGTGGACTGAGAACACTGGTGATTCCAGGTCAGTGGCTGTGAGAAGACTATGAGATCCAGGACAAACAACCAGTCCCTAACCTCCCTGCACATTCGCATCGCTAACAAGGAGGAGTTGCACAAGAGTAGGAGCTTATAGACCTCTAAGCCTCATCTTGCTTTGCCAAGACAGGAAATCAATCCTCACATGAGTGAATTTGCTTTCTCCTTTTGTTTATTTGTGTGTATATTGGCTTTATTTTTGTTTGTTTGTACAGAGGTAGCAATCAGAAGCTCTGAAGTTGTGCACTAGAACAGTGCTGTACTAGATGCCATATAAACATGCAATAAAACCCATGAATCCTCCCCAGAGACTTGCTCTTTAAGCAGAGATGGGGTTGCTTTTGGTTTCAAGATGTTCTGAGGTGAGTCTTCAGAGAGAGTTAGGAGAGCAGCCTCCTGGGTTATTTGGGAACTGTCTGGACTAAAATATTCCTCACTGGCCTGAGTGGTGGATCTGCTTTAAAATGGTTTCTTATCCTCAGCTATTTGGACTTGCTTGTTTCTGGTACATACTCAGGTTTTCCAGAGCTCACTCCTGGAAGCAGAAACTGATACCTTTTGTGGCTTCCCTGCTAGGAGAGCCCAGGAAGCACAACGGTGACAGCAGGTGATAAGTTACTGTCAGTCTTCTGCCCTCAGCCTCAGTGAGAAGTAGCAGCTCCTTGACCAACAGGGATGTACCGGTCATACACAGCTGGTTGGTTTGTATTTGCACTGACAGCTGTGAAAGTTAGCAAATGGATCTGTGGGCATTCCCAGTGAAGCTGTCACAGATCCATTTCTGGGCATGCTGGCGTTCTGGGGAAGATGTGGACATGGGCATCAGCCTGAGCGTCAGGGCCTCTGTTTGAAGAGGTGCCAGGGAAGAATCACTGCATCCTTGGATTGCCCTTATGGTGCACATGATCTCTTCTTCCTGGGACTAAAGAATTCCTACCCAGCCATATCTGAGCTCAGCGCTTGCCCAGGGGAAGACATGGCTGGGAGAAGGGCAGCTCTGGGTTTACTTTGCTGACACCGGAGCTGGTGATGCTCAAGCTTTCATCCCTTAAAATGCAGGTGGAGCAATGAGTACCACTTCCCAAGTCCCTTCAGCAGGCCATGGCTCAGCAGGTGAGGGAGCCTGTGGGAACTTGTTAGCTGCTGCAGAAGTCTGGAGGCCCCCGCACTGTGCTGCTTGGAACAGGGAGTGCTCTGGAGAGTGAAATCCTGGGGGTGTTAAGAGGCCCTCCCGGCATAGACTAGCTGCAAATCCTCCCTCTTCTTGATCTCGGCCTGAATCTCTGCCTGGAGAAGCAAAGTCCCGACGGATGATTGTGCGGGTGGAGCTGCACCTCGGCCCAGAAGCCGAGCTAAATGGAAACAGCTTTGTTTTCCTAAGGCTGGAGTATCAGCTGAATTCCTGTTTATTTAGCAGGGAGTGGAAAGGGCTTGTGCCCCTGCCCCTCACCATCAGGATGGATGGCCAGCTGCCTCTGACTCTGGGCAGCACGTGAGGAGGGTCCTGCCACTGCCACCCGAGAAGGTCCCTCCTGCAGGAGTGCTGGGCATCTACACAAGCAAGCCATGCTGCCCAGATGGGATGCGTGTGCTGGATGAGGGCTGCCTGGGAAGCAAGGCATCCTTCCTCTTCACAGAAAATAAGAGATGCCTGGGACCTGCAAAGTATTTTCCCAGCAACCTAGACAAGGGAAAAGGACATGGCTGTGGTATAAGGTGCTGAGACACTGTGCAGACAGCTTAACGCAGCTAAGCTCCTGAGCGAAGGGAGCTTCCTCTGAGAGG